CCTCCCCCCTCCCCCCCACCCTGGTTCCCCCTAAAAATTTGTTAAAACACCCCTGTAAAAACATTCTCAATTTAAATAATTTAAACAGTTTTTTGTTACTGCCCACTGCATGCCAGTGGGCAGTATGGCATATGGGATGGATGGGATGGATGGGATCGACAGATGGATGGAGGGATAGATGGATGGATGGATAGATGCATGGTATGATATGGATGGGATGGATAGGATGGATGGATGGATCAATGGGATGGATGGATGGGATGGATGGATGGATAGACGCATGGTATGATATGGATGGGATGGGATGGATGGATGGGATGGATGGACATCCAGCTTACTGACCAATTTACAGACCCTCCTTCGCAATCTCCCATGTTTTCCTCACCTCCAAGACCATCTCTTCTTCCTCATTCAATGCATCACTAGGATCTGGGCTTTCTCCTGACGGTCTTCTCTGTCCTTCCTCCAAGAGCTGGACCGCAGCATTTTTCCTTTCCAGAGAGAGCCTCAGATGCTCTACGTACCTACAAGCATAACACCAGCCTCTTACACCACGGGCAGGGAGAAAGCGAGCAGAGCCCAAAGGTTGACTCACTCGCAGGATAAGAGTCTCTCCTGCTAGGGCCTCCCCACCTAGACTGCAAAGAGGGGGCGGGTGTGGATGGCCCAAGCTGACTTCATGAGGGTCCAACCAATAAACCCACTTGGCTAAAAGACAGCAAACCTTTGGGGTAAACAAGTAGCAGCCCAACCTGTCCTTTTGTCCCAAAGGTGCTTTTTTTCCAAAAAAACAATTGGGACTTTCTGGGTTCTTTTCCTTAAAAATGATTCTCTTCCCATCCAAGTCCCAAAGATGCTTTTTTTCAAGAGGCAACTGGACTTTCTGGTTTTTTCTCTGAAGATGTTTCGCTTCTCATCCAAGAAGCTTCTTCAGCTCTGACTGGATTGGTGGGGAAGGATTTATACTCCTTGCAGACCGCTGGTCATTTGCAGTCTTGGTGGCCACTTGGAGGTTTACCTGTGTCCTCAGGATCACCTGAGCGGTGCAAATGGGTGTGGAGCCTTCTTGGAACTGCTGAATATAAATCTTTCCCTTCTCCACCCTCCAGTCAGAGCTGAAGAAGCTTCTTGGATGAGAAGCAAAATGTCTTCCAAGAAAAACAAGAAAGTCCAGTGGCCCCTTGAAAAAAGCACCTTTGGGACCACCAGGATCTGGAGGACGGAGAATCTCCATAGACTTCTCATCCAAGAAGCTTCTTCAGTTCAAGACAGTTCTTCATCCATGAACCGAAGAAGCTTCTGGGGTGAGAAGCGAAATATTTCCAAGCGAATTAAAAAAAAAAAAAAAAAAGAAACCCAACGAAGTCCAGTTGCCTTTTGGAAAAGCACCTTAGGGACAACGGCGACTTGGGTGATCCAGAAGCTCCAGAGGCCTTCAACCTGTCCTTTTCTTCCAGCATTGCTGTGACATCCATATCTTTGGCCTGCGCAGTGAGGATCAAGGCGAGCTGCTCTTCCGTAGCCAGGCGCTGGACTCTTTCGCGCTCCGTCAAAGCAAACGCCTTCTCTACTTCTTCACGGGCCGTTCGAAGATCCTGCGCTCGGAAAGCAAGGGAAAAAAAAAAGAGAGAGACGTGGAAACCAAGGGACCTTTATTTATTTATTTTTTTAATTTTTATTTTTCCTTTTTCACTTTACAAAAAAACAAAATGCAAAATACATTTTTTTTCCTTAACAGTACTGTGTCCTATACTGTATCTCTTCCATATGTTTACAGTTATTTACATTACTTCTCATACTTTTTTATTCCTCAGTTCTAACCAGTTAGAACAGTGGTTCTCAACCTTTTTAATGCCGCGACCCCAACCGGTCGTAAGTCGAGGACTAAACCGGTCGTAAGTCGAGGACTAAATCGGTCGTAAGTCGAGGACTACCCAACCGGTCGTAAGTTGAGGACTTTCCCTGCCCGGGAGCGCCGCACATGCGTGGTTCCGCCCCCTGCGCCGGCCGAGGCGTAGCTGGCAAGCGGTAGAGACGGAGCAGGCCGACCACCAGCTGGCCCAGCCCAAGGGAGGTAAGGCACCCACTGGAAAAGGGGGAAAAAATGGCAGACCAAAAAAATGGCGGACAAAAAAATGGCGGACAGCCTTGCTTGGCGACCCCCATGAAATGGTCGATCGACCCCAAATGGGGTCCCGACCCACAGGTTGAGAACCACTGAGTTAGAACATTTGTCCCATATCTCCTAAAATTCTCTTGCTTCCTTGTCTTTTATTTCTAAAGTTAAGTTTATATACATCTCAGCGCATTCTAATATCTTGTGAATAATCAGGTCCCTTGTTGGTATATATTTTCGCATGTCCAACATTGCGCATGTCCAATGCGTGTGCAGCTGTTATTATGCGTACAATGATGTATTGGAGTTGTTTTTTCCATCTTTGGATTAATTATCTATATAAATAAAAATGTAAATGTTCGTTTGTTCAAAATCTTAAATCTCCGAAAGTTCTTCACCGATTGCTTTGAAATTTTGACACAACGTTGCATTCGAATACGCACGTGTTTTTATATACCTATATTATATAGATGTCACACCTGTGACAGGTAAAAACATGTTTTTAAAAAAACAGCGCCACCTGTTGGACGTAAAAGCAACACACGCTTTTACCAGACTGAGCCACAGCAACGCGTGGCCGGGTACAGCTAGTACTTAATAAGAATAATTCGAGTTTAAGTTCAATTTGTTCTTTTGTTATTTCCTGTATCCATCTCATCTGCTCCCAATAAATCTTTGCTTTGGAGTATTGCCACCATACTGTATGTGATAAAATATTCCCTCTTTGTTTTTGCACTTCCAACAGTCCGGTTTCATGTTTTTGTATATCTTAGCCAATCTCGCCGGTGTTAAATGCCATCTATAGAACATTTTATATTGGTTTTCTTTATATTCAGTTGACAGTGTTAATTTGCCATTTTTGTTCCATACTCTTTCACCAGCGACCTTTAAAGCCAACTCATATTCTCCACCACTCAGCTCGGAAAAGACCACCCACCCAATACTTAGGACAATACTTAATGAAATACAGCAAGCAATTTTGGTCACCGTAGTACAAAAAAAAAAGATGTCGAGACTTTGGGAAAAGTTCGGAGAAGAGCAACTAAGAGGATCCAAGGCCTGGAGACTAAAACATACGAAGAACGGATTTGGGAATGGCCAGTCTAGAGAAAAGAAGGACTAGGGGGGGACATGATAGCAGTGTTCCAGTATTTGAGGGGCTGCCCCAAAGAAGAGGGAGTCAAGCTATTCTCCAAAGCACCGGAAGGCAGGAGAAGGAACAACGCATGGAAACTAATCAAGGAGAGAAGCAACCTGGAATTAAGGAGAAACTTCCTGACAGTGAGGACAATTAACCAGTGGAACGGCTTGCCACCAGATCACGTGACCGCGGGGATGCTGCAACTGTCGTTAAGTGTGAAAAACAGTCACAAATCACTTTTTTCAGTGCTGTTGTAATTCCGAACAGTCATTAAACAAAGGCAAGGACGGCCTGTATAATATTATTTGGAGGAATGTTATGTGGGTAATTGAATATATTTCTGCTCTGACTCCATCAAAAGACTCAGCCAGGCTTAGTAGGATAAATAATACAATTTCAAACAGAGGCAGTGCAATCTTAAAAGCTCAGCTATTACAAACACCGAAGGAAATAAAAGTAGGAAATGTGTGGTCGCAATCAAAAGACAATGCAATTTAAAAAAAAAAAAAACCCAATCCACCTCTGTATGGCATACTAGGATAAATAATGCAATTTCAAACAGAGGCAGTGCAATCTTAAGAGCTCAAGCCTCGTAAAAAGGGCAATAAAAATACACATTTTGCCCTGTCCGTTGGCGGGAATAACTGCACAGTTCGCCGCTCGTACTGAGCACAGCCCTTGGGACAAAAAAATGGTGGGAGGTCCTATGCACACTGGCCACGGCTTCATGCAGCTAGTCCTCAACTTGCAACAGTTTGTTTAGTGACCGCGCAAAAGTTACAACGGTGCTGGGAAAAAAGGGACTTATAATAATAATAATAATAATAAAGTTGGAAGGGACCCTGGAGGTCATCTAGTCCAACCCCCTGCTCAGGCAGGAAACCCTATACCATTTCAGACAAATGGCTGTCCAGTCTCTTCTTAAAAACCTCCAATAATGGATAATAGTAATAGTAATAGTAATAGTAATAATAATAATAATAATAATAATAATAATATTTTTATTTATTATTTTATTTATTATTTTAATTTGTATACCGCCCTTCTCCCATAGGACTCAGGGCGGTTCACAGCATATTAAAAACAAATAATATACCCAAAATACAAAAAATACACAATACAAAAATACAAAAGAATAAACCCCGATAAAAGCCGAATTAAAACCAAATATTACCAGCTGTGTTTCCAATTAAAATACTTTTAAAATTATC